GAAATTTGCATACCAGAACTTCAAGAAGTTTTGGTGAAGGTAAACCCAAGATTTATTTTTGTCTTGGTTGAAGGTTCAAATGCATCTCTAGTTTACGAAGGCCATTGATAGCAGCAATGTCGAGAAGTGTGAGGTTTTATCATCCCACAAGGAAGGTGAAATGTGTTAGTAGAGATATCCCATAAGCACATGGCTACAATGAGCATATTAGAGTTGTATTGGGGACCAACTCGTGACAATTGTGAAATTCTGGTATCAGATATCAGATGTCGAAGGTGATCTTACGATACTAATATTTGTTCAATCATCAATAAGAACAAAGACAAACATATAACAGACGTAAAACAACACAGGCAATTGTTAACTCAGTTCGGTGAAAACACACCTACGTCTAGGGGATACCAAGCCAGGAAGGAAATCCACTAAGTAGAATTAGTTTGAAGATATACAATAGACTCTTTCTAGTTTACCATCTTCTCACCTAATCTCTACCCTTGCAATTTCTACCTAGGACACACCTAGATAAGAGTCATCTCTCACTCCCCCTCAATCACAACATTGATAACAAATAACAAATTAAGACTTTAGAAGACACTCTTCAAAGACACAACTTGATATTGCTTAAAAGCTTCAATCAAGTACAATGCACTCTTGCTTACAAGCTTTGAGTGAACAAATTACAACACAGAACTTAGTCCAATTCACACATTGAGGCAATGAGTGGATGGCTCACAAACTAACACAAAACGCACGAAAGCTAGAGCACTAAGCTTTACACAATTACACACTCTTAAACCTAGCTTCTCTCCTCTGAAAGCTAGGGTTGCAAATCCTTAAATAGCAACCCATGGACAGGCTTGGGTTGTGACAAAAGTAACAACAGATTGTGAGGAGATCAATCTACATTAATCGTATCAATGAAACAGATTTAATTTGATCCAATCAGATCCAATCAAATCACTCTTCATATCTCCAAGATAATCTTCAGAAAATAGCTCCATTTGAAATTATAATTGCTCCATGATATCTGTAACAAGCACGCCTTCGGCTAATGACAAAATCCACGCAGATATACACCAGATCAATGCAAAGAGTTGCACAAAAGAAATAGATAAACAAACACATTCTCACAGAATGTTTTGTTCATAAGCGTCAGGACATCATGCTTGACATCATGACCTAAGTCCTGCTACAACAGACATAGCTACCTGCAGAACCTTAAAACCATAAGTCACGATATCCTGTATGACATCTTGTGATTACACCAAGTTTTACCAAAATGCCTGTCAATCAGGAACTAACAAACTGGATTATATCAAATATGCTCAAATCCCTCCAAAAGTGTTTCTTAGTTTCTTGAACTCTATCTAACCATCAGATGTAATCAACATCCTCATTCAGAGGAGAAGAACGAAAGAACCTATTCTTGAAGAAGTTAAAATCAAATAGGGAATCCACGAACACTAAGGGTTTGTAACTAGGGAAGTAAGAAAAGAAATCTTTCAGTATCTGAGGTTTGTTTATACGCCTAGTAAGAGGGACCATGAACACACAAACAATACATGCAATAGAGTAGGGGATCAAATAAGCACTGTACCAGACGTTTCTTCTTCCATCCTCCATGGGAGGTTTAGGAATGTAGGTGCGACCGTTCTCGAAAAGTTATTATTTAATGACAACATCAAAAGGAGGATGTGACTAAACTTTGGGAGCCATTTTTAATTACAAAGGTTTCTTAAGAGGGAATGTAATGAGGAAGAAGAGAATTGCAGAAAAAACTTTCTCAAAGTTTCCTTTTATTCGTGTTTCAGAAAGATGGAAATGATGAAATATAAGAGGGTGTTGAGGAAGAACGTGTTAAATAGCCAAAGGAAGAAGGTAATTTAATTTTTTTCCTCCGAATAATTTTGGAAATGCGGCGAACTCAAGTCAAAAGTTGGCATTAAAAGGCCATAAGAAAAGATAAAGAATGGTTAAATAGTTTTATCTTAATTTAATTTCTAATAAATCTCATAGGAAATAGGGGATGATCATGATCAATTGCATACACACATGTGACATGAAGTTTTGGTATAAAGTGGTCATAATGACCAAAGAATAATAATTAAATAATAAGACATTTCGTTGATGTGACATGTGCAAATTGGGCAAACAGTGTCAAAGGGTTACGAAAACACCACCTTTCTTCCATCTGATATATGAATGAATGTGACATTTTTTGGGGAATCTGTTAGCCTGGAATTTCTAGTTTGGAAACGCAAAATTGATGTTGCATTGGAAAAAAAATGCTAAGTGTTAACATTAATTGACACAATTCGACAAAAATGAGTATGTCGACTAGAGCGTTTAAACTAGCATCCTGAGCCATGGTTTAGAAGAATCTCAAGAGCATATATTGAAATATGGTTTGGAAGAATCTCAATAGAAAATATCGAAATATGGTTTGAAGAAGTCTCAAGAACATATTTGATTGATCACTCAACATTGTGTCGATATCGATGCGTTCAACAGACTCCAAAGATTTGGAAGATTTTGGAAACTAGAGACTGGAAAAAGGACTTAACGCTGTCAGCAATCACCTTCGACGAGCAGACAATTACTAGTCGTTAAGAGCAGTTACGAACATGAGATAATGGTTTTCAACAGCTTTTAAGTATTGACGACGTGACAGTGCATCAGAAGCAGGGATGACAAAAAGACATGTAGTCGTGGGTAAAACATGTCACGACCACGAGTTGGCTCACTTAATAAGTATCCACAAGTAAAATAAACGAATATTTAGTTATCCGTTTTCTTACGGGCACGAATATGAATTTGAATATTTAGTTATCCGTTTTCCATCAAAAATATTAACAGCGTATTATTATTATTTTGTTGAATACATAACTTTTATTATTTTGCTGAATCTAGTATCATTATTTAATAAAAGAAGAGTAAAATGAATGTGATTTATTTTTGTTATTAGTATTATTATGTGTTAAATTTGAAATTATTATAAAAATTAATTAATTATATTATTTTAAAAATATATATTTAAATAATAATATTTATAGATATCCGTAAATACATGTGGGTATTTTAAAATCCATAGATACCCATCTAGTAAATATTCACATGAGTATATGGAGAGTACATGTATCATATATACTAAACAGGGCGGCTAGCGGGGGATTAGTACTCGTACCCATGGGTATCCATTGCCATCCCTGATCAGAAGTTTAAGTTGCATGTCAATGAAGATGTGTCGATTCTCTAGGAATAAACTGTCAGAGACTGTTATCTTTAGATTAGTATATATAGCAGTTTCATATGTTGTAATCATGATCGCAAACTCCATATGTTTTCTCTATAGAATTGGAGTAGTCTAGTCAAAGTGAGAAATAGTTTGTGAATAACATGTGAGTCTGCGTCCCTTTTTATTTTGATTCCTTTATGTTTTCTTAAGTGAAATATCTTTACTTTCTGTCATCCACTACGTTTATTTAATGTCATTCATTACAAGTTTCTTTTACTTTAATTCAAGTTTTTTTGTCGTTAAAGTTTTATTGCAAACGTGTTTGCACAAATTGCAAACGTGTTTGCACAAAACTGCTCTTGAGATTTTTTAGTTAATTTCACAGACTTATAAACTCGTGATTATTCGCTAAAAACACGCGCGAACACTCTGTCCGTGCCATTATAGATAACACAATGAGTTCAACACGACGTGCAGTGTGCAGATGGTTACCTGGAGTGGTACCTTACTGATGATAATGATGTGCCTTCTGATGCTAGGGGACATGTCGATGATGTGCCGCCGCCTCCACCTAGTGTTGATGACCAACAACCTGTAAATGACCATTGTTATTACGAATAACCTTAGGGGTTTGATAAACTTATATTGTAAGGTTTTTATCAGATTATCACAGGCAACACATATAATGCGTGAGGGACCTGTTTATATATTTGATTTTACATTTGTATTATTTGTATATTTTGTGACTCACACTATTTAGCACCGTACTTTTTATTACATAATATTTTGTTGATTATATGTTTAGAAGATGAACATAACTTAACACATTAGAACTAACATAAATTAACAATAAGGAACATGAAAACCTAGACACTGCAAAATGATTCACGATGTTTCAACATCTTGATTATGTTGTCGAGAGATTTTGAAATTGCCGCATCAAACTCGACTGATCCCTTAGTTCGCCTACAGTGAAATGTTCTCCACATAACCTTCAAATCTTCACCGATCTTCAACTCAATAAGACCGTATTTAACCTTTCCATCAATATCAGTCCAGTTTGCACGATATTTGATCTTACCCACCTTTTTATTCTCAGTGTCGGACAAAACATTATTAAAATTAGATCTTAAGACCGTGAGACATGCGGCGCCCTCCGAAAATCGAAACTCAACAGAAGGTTTCACCCCGTTGAAATACATTTCTGTCTTAATACAAAACTGATGAAGAAACATTGTAATATGTTTTTCTTAACACATGACTTCTATTTATACAACTTTGAATTCATTCTAAACCATACAAAACGGTTAGTGCAATCACAACCGTACAAAATTGTATCCATTAAAAATTTCGTATGGTTAAATTTCCAATATTACATGATATTTCTTAAAATACCGATAATGTTTCAAAGATATCAAAATTTTTAAAAAATTTAGTATAAATTCATACTAGCAATTTTGAATGAACTAAATTTTAAGATGATATCAAAGGATTTTGAATGCACTATAAAAAATTTTGTTCCGAGTTTATGAACCAATTTTATTTGGGGACAATTTTAAAATTAATGAAATATGTGGGAGTGTTAGGAGTAAGTTGGGAATGGACAGGTTAAATTCGAGAGCTGGCCTAAAAACCCTTGGGCTTGGGTCGTGAGAGTGCCGCGCGCTAACCATTTGTGTTTTGGCGCTTCTTTTTGGCGAGTTTCGTTCTTTACAGTTCCCGGCGAGAAAGAAGAAACGGTGGCTGCTAATAAACCGATCTATCCATGACTTGGTGGGAAGGCGTTCAGGAATCCCGCGTTCTCGTTGCCCCGGGTAACAAGCACTCTTTCATTTTTTTTGCTATTAATTTCTCGAAAGCTTATTCTTCTTTTGCAAGTGCAGATCCTAGCAACGATGGAAATGGTTCCGGACGAATGATATCGCTTCGTCATCCCAAATCTGGTAACTCAAACAACATTTTTGTCACACACAAAAATATGATTTAGGTCTGTTTGAAAAATCAACTTAATTAAGCACTTATTATATAAGAGCTTATCTATGAAGCATAAACAGTTTAGGTCTGTTTGGATTATCAACTTAATTAAGCACTTATTATATAAGAGCTTATCTATGAAGCATAACCACAAAAATAAGTCTATTCAAACATGCCTTTATTCTAATTTGTTTATTATCTTCATTTCTTAATGTGTTCATTAACACTTGATGCTGTATTACTTTGCTATTAGTTTTTTTCTCGTGGAATTGTTCCTTATTGAGCTTTATGACGGTTTTCCAGCTTTCTCTTGTTTTGGATCCTTTATGTATGTTTTCATTTGCTTTGCAGGAAATGCAACTCAATATCTCTTTGTAAATGGAATGCTTCAAGAGTTTCAATGGTTTAAGAACTTGTATGGGTCTTGGTTTTTGGGAGATTATACAAGTGAAGGTAGATATTTGATTATCCATTTTTATTTCTACTTCATGTTTTTATTGTACTTATGTACATTGCTATCTCTCAATCTAATCAACCTTTTGTTTGTCAAAATCATTGCTTATGCTTTTCTTTGAAATAACGTCTTTGTTCCTGCTTGGCTTATCCTCTGATCTTGCATTTCGTAATTTTATGAAAGCAATATGATTCCTCTTGTTAAGTTTGTAGTCTTTAGGTCTTATCACTTGCGAAGAAACTCTAGTGGAACAAAGATTTTGGCAGATGTTCTTTTCATGTTTTATCGTTGTTACTAATTTTGTATTCCAACAGATGGTCGACTGTATTTATCCACACCTATTGATCCTGTTTTTATCATGCTGCCAATATTTGAGGAAGCTAGAATGAAGGTAATTTCTGTTTCTTTTCAACCATGGAAATTGAAAACAATGGTCATTTAATTTTATAGTTCTTTCCCATTCAAGTAAATCCTTCATCAATTGTAGTTGTTGAAGCAAATAAAGTTTTAGTTGCACATCTGATACTTCACGCATACACTAGATTGTACAAGGATTATTTAAGTTTAAATTGTGTGCCCTGACCCGGCAATTTTTTTTACCATGCATAACTGCATATCACTGGTTCTTTAAAATGTAGAAAGGAGATGATCTTGGCAAGTTCAGGCAATTGAATGAGATATTGTTTGTTGATGGGTATCCAGGATATCAGCAGTTAATGTCCCTTGTAGAGAACTGTATGCAAGTAGTTTGTGAAGTCAAAGGTAGTATTCTCGTATACCTTTTACTTACACAACTTCATTATACGGGTTGTAGAGAAAATGAGAATTGGCTTTATGTGTTTATTATACGGGTTGAGTGCCAAGTATAGCTATGGTGACCTCGTTGTTAATATTTGCTTCATTCACCCCGTTCGTGTATCAGTAGTTCAATGTTAGGTGGTGGAATATATTACCTTTGTAATGTTGCAACAATAATGTCTGGAAGTATGGTTGTTATTGTGGTGATTCTAAAACTGTCATCTTCTATTCTTCTGCATATGCAGAAGTTGGATCCTTAAAATTCTTTAGACTTGATGACACAAAGGTTCTGCGTTGGCTTTGCTATAAGGTTTGTCTCTCCTCATGTTTCCTTTTTCTACATGTAGTTTGAATGCATAGCTTTCAATTCCCCCCAAACTAATCATACACAGTTTAGTTGCCCAGTAATTTGATCATCCATGTGTATAAAGAGGCTTTTGACATTTAGTCTATATGTTAGCAGATGGATGTCTGAACTTCATGATGTTTTTCATGTAAATGTGAACTAAGACTGAAGCATGATTATATGACTAAATCTCTCAGATACCATAAAGCTTGCATCATTAGTGTCATATAGTTTGTAATCAGAGTTGGTTGCTAATATAGGTGTACTCGTAAAAGTACACCATTCTCCATTGGTGTAGGACCAGCGAAGCTCACTTTATTGCTAGATTATGCAACATATTGTTGCCAATTAGTCATAAGCGCACTACCTGTGCATTTAAGTCTGAATATTCCTCTTGCACTAGTTTTGGGCTACAAAGACCGATCTGATCCATGAAACGGGTTTATCCAACCCCACTATTACGGGCGGATTATCAACCCAAGGCGGGCTCTTGATAATCTTGGGCAAACTTTTGATACTATTGGGCGAGCTCTTGATACTTTGGTGGACTTTTGATACTCTTGGGCGAGCTCTTGATACTTTGCCCTACAGCCCGGCCTACTCCCTTGGTTTGCGCTCTTTATCGTGCTATTTAAGTCCCTCCGTCCAAAATAGGATTAAAAGTACATAGTTCCCCAAGCATGAGGTGCGTAGGGGCAAAATGCTTTCGTGAGTCCTAACAAGAAATCAGACATGTACAATAGGTATATTAAGCAATAATACTACTTGGTTTGCGTTATAGAGTTTACATTGTAGCTTACTTTTTTTGTCTTCTGGTATATGTATGCTTGGCCCATCTATTGTTGTATTGCTTCAAAAATTTTCACCGGCATTGAAGTTTTTATTTTGATTTCTTGTATTTTAGGTTTGTCAGCTGAATCAGACACTACCCAAGTTGGACAAAAACTACGCCATTCAATCAGAGAAAGACACTAGTAAATTTTTTATTTCCATTATGTTCAGCTAGCTTTTGAATAATTTTATTCTGTTGAGGTTAAATTGTGTAAAAAAAAGATATATTGTACATGGGAAAGAAAAAAAGTGATAAAGGGATTGATTCCTTGAAATGTGTGCTTGTGTATTTACTAATGGTATTGATGCAGTGGTTGATGCAGTTTCAATATTAGGAGAGTATTTAAATGAAGAACACTGGTTGCAGCTTTTGTGTAACCATCTTAAGTATGGCCTTTGAGAATGTCTTTTTATGATCATTAAGAAAAAGCCACGATGGATTGGAATTAAGTCGATTTTGCTTTTGCAGGTTAAATATACTTGAGGTCACAGGAAAATTACAACAAGCAAAGGCTGAGGAAAGTAATCCTGGTTTGTATAATGATGTATTCCAGGTATTAACTGGACACAAGAACATTAGGTTTGGAATACAGTACTATTTTGGATTATAGTAATTGTTTTTGCTCAAAACAAGTGTTAATGTTTTAGCAGGAGGAGCAGAGTGATAATAAGAAGGCTACAGTTGTGAAGAAAGGTAGACAAGCAAAGAAAATAAAACTTGAGACAGAATCACATAACATCAGAGATATGTTTTCTAGGGCCTCCAGAAAGAAAAACTAGACCATTCCATTGAAACTGGTGAAAAATTGAAATTGGTCATTACCATTTTGTATCATTTTCTAGAAGTAGTGGATAAGCACTGAGTCAGATAATGGTTTGTAACGTCCATTTCTATGATATTTAATTTGAAATTTGGTCATCTATTCATATTTCATCTGCACTAGCACATCATATTTTTTTTAATGTGATAATAATTACTAAAAATTCACACAACCGTGATTATTAAAGTTCAAACTCTGATGATAACATCAAATTAGACAATTGAACTAGGAGCACAGCATATCTACACATTCTTTTCACACTAGGGAGTCAAACAAATAATTTTTACTTACGACAGTCAACAAATTAAGAGCATCTCCTTAGGTTGACCCATCTTAGAGGAACTCCATTAAAAATTATATACTTTTTTGTTTGAATTGATGGAATACAAGAGTGAAATGAAATAAAGTGGTATTTAATTATTTTTTTATTGTTTAGATTTATAAAAATGGAATGGAGTATTATGCAACATAAAATTTATTTTATCATGTTTTTATTTTACTTTTGGTTCTAATCAAGTGTAATATTTTAAATAAAAATTAATTTTCCACCTTTATTTATATTTTGCATTAGTGAAATATTAGTTGCTCTTTTGTTTACCATAATATCTTCTATTTTTCTAGTTGTATTGTCTCGATTCATCTAGTTATAATCAATTCTACCATTATGTTTTATTAGCATTAAGACGGGCATCAGTGCTCGTCTGTCACCATTTTTAAGGTGACATTTAAAAATACAAATGATATTTTTTGTATGTGTTTATTTATTTATATTTAAATTATTTATAAAAAATTAAATAAAATAGTTGTGTAAACCACCATATAACAGTTAATAAAAAAAAATTAGTAGAAGTGAAGTTGAAGTTTAAAATAAAAACTAAAAAGAGTAAAACTGGAATTAAAATAGGTTACACCAAAACTAAGTTTTCTCTTTATATATGTTATAGATTAAACACTAGACATGACAACGGAGCAGGTCGGAGACAGTTTTTACCTCTTACAAATTCAAACTCGAATTTTCAACAATCCCCGTTCTCCTTCCCAAACTCAAAAGGAGACGGAAAATTAAAACGCAAATCCGTCCCAAACGGGTTCAGATATCTCCGCCCCGCCACAATCCATTTAGTAAAATCAATTTTTTAAATAAAAATATTTATTTTTTAAAAATTAAATTAAATTATAAATAATAAAATAATAAATTCTCAAAAAAAATCTTACATACCTATGAAATATTTTATATAAACAATACAAATAAAAATATCAAAACATTGACCACATATTTAATATTCTAAATTAACAAAATTAAATAATAATGTACATAATAAAATAAATAGAACGAGTTCGAGAACGGGTTCGAAGTGGATACTAGTGTCCCCATTATTCAATCCATCCCTATATATTTTAATCGGGAAAAATCCAAACCTAAATTTAAACCCAATCAAAGCGGATTTTCCTCGTAAACTTCGAACTAGATTCCAATGAATACTCACGAATATGAATTTTATTGCGATATCTACTAAAGACTCTTTTGTTTGTTTTAAAATATCTAAATATAGCATGAATTTATTATGGCATAGACTACTCAAAGATGGTCCCGCAATGCCACATGCAATGTTTACACATTTTTGTTCAAAATAAGATTTATGAAATTTTTCTGTATATACTATTTTTCATAAATTAAAATATTAATTTAATTTAAATAGTCTTTTAGTTCTAATAAATTGATGATTCCCTAAATCTTTTTAATTATTCAGTATTTAATAAATTATTCAATATTTTAATTATTGATGATTAATTAATTTATTTTAACTATAAATTAGTTAATATTTCCGCTAAATACCTCAATATTCAACTAATTAATTTACTTATGATTGAAACATTGAATAATATTGATTTCATATTATTTAATAAATTAAAATTTTTTTCATATTAATACTTATGGTTGAAATAACGCTTTAATTAATTATTTTTTATTTCATACTATCTAATAATTATTTAATGTTATATTATATTTTTATTTTTATTGATATTGTGAAATAATATTATTAAATATTTATTTTATTAAATATTAACTATTGTCTATTATATATTTAGTCTATTAATAATTATTTTACTAAATATTAAATATTTAGTCTATTAATAATTGTTTTATTAAATATTTAGTCCATTAAATGTTTACTTCATTAATAATTATTAATAATGGTATTAAAATAATTTTAAAAAAATGGATGTCACGTCACTGATGTTGGCCACATCTTTTCTTTTTAATAGAAATTTAACATCAGAGGTCAAATTTAAAAAAAAAATCAACGGTTAACGACTTCAACAAAAAATAATATTTAGAGTCCAAAACTGAAAACTCACAAAATTTTAGAGATCAAAAAACTATTTAAATCTATTAATATTATTAATGTCTATGATATTGCATCTTATATATATTTTTTAAAACAATTTTAGTGACACTACACTGTTATATAAAGTTTCTCCATTGGGCTGGAAAATTACAATGAGTTTTTCAACTTAGAACATCATTGAACATATTGTATTGTAGTTTGTTAAGTGTATAATGAAGAACATGAAAATGTATAATGCTTTATTGAATTGAGAGTGAAAATACAAACAACATTATATATGAAGAGTGAACTAGAACTAAGAGTGATGGTTGAATCAAAGTAACTAACTTTCAGATGTTGCAAATGTTAAATGTTGGACTTTCAACTAGGGAGACTTTTTTCTAGAGCAACCTTTGTGAGAGACACACCACATATTCACCCAAAACCTTAAGGTGATAGGTGTATGGGTTCTCTCACTTATAAATGCTCAAGTCACCACATTTTTATCCAATGTGGGACTATTATCCACCCTACTCACACTTGGTAATACTTAACACGGGATGTTAAGCCCATCGAATCCCTCAGGGAGACGCTGAATTAAATAATCCAACAATCTCCTCCCCAGTGTCAGCCGGGGGGATTTGAACCCATGACCTTGCTCTGATGTTGGAAATTCACCTCACACCCTATGAAGAATTCCCTTCAATCTTGATCTCAAGATTGATGAACAAACCCACTATATGATAATGATGGTAATAACAAGTAATTATTAAGAACAACAAAAGAGAAGAAGAATAACAAACAAGAAAGAGAAGAATGAAAGAAGAAGTATTTGGAAAGAATGTGTTACCCACAACTGTGAGATTTCTTATTGAACTTTCACTTGCTAACTGCAACTGTGAAATCTGTTCTGTTGTGATGTAGAATACAAAGCAAGGCACCCTATTTATAGTTTTAGGTTTACACTAGCCCAAAACATAAAAGACCCAAAATATTCTAAATCAAATCTAATCATATGATATCAAATCTAATCATATGATATCAAATCATATCATATCAAATTAATCATATGATATCAAATCTAATCATATCAAATCACAATGAATTATATTTAACACTAAAGCTCTATATTATGCTTCTGTAGATGATCTTGATACAACAATAGTTTGAACAAAAATATTTACAATGAATTACTTCTACACAAGTAGATACAAACACTATTAAAAGCTCTAATGACTTAAAGAAGCTTTCACAGTATGAACAATGTTCTTTCTTTGTATTTTGGTGCTTCAATATTGTTGCTTCATTTCTTCATAGATCATTCATTTCTTGTCATTCATACTTCTTTGATAATCGTTTTTGTTGTATGAATCTTTATGTCAATCGTTGTATCTCTCTATGTTTCTTCAAGTCAATAAGTCCTTATATAGCTACAAAAATATCAGTTGCAAGACAGATCAGGAATATCCTTTTAGATAGTTGGCGACTTGAAATAATGTCGTTACGCATGGATGAAAATCGTACACAAAAGTTGTTATTTGTACCACCAAATCAGGGTAGTGGAAAGGAACATTGAAACGTACTATGTACTATTTTCCCTCGTAAACGTTTGATCTTATCTTCTGTACATCAGAGGCTTCTGAATAGAATTGATTGAAGCATGAGTAGAAGAGTTGATCATTGGGTCTTCAGCACTTGTTCACCAGAACCTTATCTTCAGAACTTTAAGCACTTAGTCTTCAGAACCATTGGTCATTAGTAACTTAAGTCTTCAGAGTCTTCAGAACATCGATCAGCAGAACTTTGCCTTCAGAGTCTACAACACTTAATCTTTAGAAACTTAAGTCTTCAGAGTCTTCAGAATGTCGTTTAGCAGAACTTTGTCTTAAGAGTCTTCAACACTTAGTGTTCAGAAGATAATGACTTCAGAAGCAAGAAAACCTCCAGAAGTAAAATATCATAGTCTTGCACAGAGGCAGAAACCAAGAGAATATTGCAGCAGCAACATATTATCTTCTCAGAATCTTTCTGAACGTGAGTATATCAAAAGCAAACTTACTTCTTATAGTGCAGAAGCGACTTTGGTTAGATATCAGTAAGTTGTCTCCCATAGTCACTTACTATCCTTTCTCCGACAATTGACCAACACTCATCAAGTTGCTCTTCATGTTAGGAACATACCACACATCTTTGATCAACACAATTTTACCATTCCTCCATTTTACCAGGACATTCCTCATTCCTTCAATAGCTAGATATTCATCATTAGCACACCTAATTTTGGTCCTTTCGCCTGAGTCAAAATTGATCAGCCATTGCATGTTTCCTGTTATATGGTTAGAGCAGCCTGTATTCATGTACCACCAATCTACCATTGCTTCAACATCATTATTTGTTACCATCATCAGCACAGGTTCTTCCTTTGAATCACCTTTAGCTATGTTGGTTTCTTCATTCTTGTTTTCCTTATTTGATTAACATTCAACAACAAAGTGGCCAAATTTATTGTAATTGTAGCATTGGAGCTTTCTCTTATCGAACTTTTTCTTTCCCTTATGAACATTTTCATGTCTCTTCTCACCTTGATTGAAGGATTCTGACTTCTAGACACCACCATCATTCATTTTCTTGATTTTCAACCATGCTTGTTTCTTGTTCTTCCACTTGAGATTATCACTATTTCTTTTCTTGACAAAAAGAGCTTTAAGAGCTTGTTATGTTTCCCTTTCAGACTTTCTTTCAGTTAGACGCAATTTTTGTGCTTTTAAACTACTTTGCAAATTTTCAATTCTCATTGTGTTAGTGTCTTTTGAGTGTTCAATGGCTACCACAATATAATCAAACTAAGAAGTAAGTGATTTTTGTACCTTTTTAATGATCACTTATTCATAGAGCGTTTTTCCACTAGACTTCATCTCATTTGTCACCACAATCACTCTTGAGATGTAATCAGGCACCTTTTCATTCTTGTTTATGCTAAGATTCTATTATTGCTTGTGTAGGGATTACAACTTTACTTTCTTTACTAATGTGTTGTCACCATGGCACCGCACAAGCATATCCCACGTTGCTTTTGTCATCATTGAATCATAAATCTTCTCAAACGCCTTCGTGTCTACACATTGGTGAATGTAGAACAATGCTTTTTAATGTTTCTTCCTTGTTTCAGGTTGCACATTTCTTTGCGCTTCTATTGTGTTTTCTGCTACCGACGTGTAGCCATCATTCACAAGCTCAAGCATATATTGAGCGCCAAACAACACACGCAATTGAATCGACCACTAATTCCAATTCTTTTCGTCTAATAGTGGGAGCTTTGCATTTAATACATTGTTTCCGTTGTTCATCTTCGTTCTTGTTCAAATCGCTCAATTTTCACTAACACTCGTGTTTGCCCTAACCCTAAGAATCAAGATTGTAATTCTCTTCAATTTCGATTTTCAGTTCAGTATAAATTTGAGGAATAAAATCAAGCACACGCCTCACGTACAATCTGGAAACTGAAACTCTAAATACCAATTTGTTGGAGTTCAAATGATGTTGCAAAAGAGCTGAATTGATTATACAGAGAAAGAGAGATACAAGAAAATGAATGTAAAAAATAATTTTTATTGATAACTCTTTCTAACTGAATTACAAAGTTCTAATTATAGTTAAAAAAATATTAACTGTATTAATGAAAACCAAACACATCTCAAATAAAATACCAAATAAAAAAACAAGTGAAATGCAAACTAAATAACAATTTTAAATTTGAATCAAATTTAACAATCATAACATAACTTTTAATTTATAATGCACTTTTAACCTAATCTCTATTATAACTCTTACATAACTTAACTATAACATAACCGAAATATAACTATAACTCATTTGCAACTTTAGCATAACTTAACATAACAAAACTGTAAATTAATCACAACCCATTTGCAACTTTAACATAATTTAACTATAACAAAACCACAATTTAATCGTAACATGTTCACAACTTTAACTTAACTTAACAAAACTATAATTTAACCGTAACATAATTACAATTTTAACATAATTTAACCATAACACAACCATAATTTAACCATAACCTATTTACAACTTTGGCATAACTTAACTATAATAGAACCATAATCATAACCTTTTTGTTTGATAACCATAATTGAACCATGACATAAAGAGGAGTTAGATAAGCATATTTGCACCTCCCCAAAAAATGTCCACATCCTTTTTAGTAGTAAAAGCATATTCCCAACCTCTTGATAGAATTAAATTTTCACAAGAACAAAAGCCAAAAAAATATCATAACAAACCTTAGATACTAGTTTCAAATATTTGGAACTTGTGATATTCTAAAATAAAAAATAACTAGGATAACAAACAAAGTCTCATGTTCATACCATATATCATATGATATGACATGACACGATAGATATCTCTTATTCAACATGTCATATACCTTTAAACCCTTCACTGTCACACAGTTCCGAGTAACATCATCATCTCATTTCTTCTTGGAGACTCAAGTGAAAGATTCTCTTGCAAGATTCTCATCTGCTTTACTCTCCAAGGTCTATCTTCTCTTGCAAAGGTATTCAACTAGTGTGTGGCTTCAATTTTTATGGAATCAATTTACATGTTTCTTTTGAAACTCATATTTTTCTCTCAATCTTGATTGTGTAGGTTTTCAAGAAAGCTTGTAAAGAAGATCTTTTTTCTGTGGATCCTATGGCAGGGTTGGATTTTGAAGCTGAATATGTTGATAGCTTTGATGTTCTCAAAGTTCTTGCAGCTCATGGTGTTGAATTTCTCTTATCTTCTCAAGGAAAGGTATATCTATATATATATAGCGTGGTTTCTTGAAAATTTTACTTCTGATGTATTAGTGTCGGTGTCGTGTCTGGTGTCCATGTTAGTGTCTGTGCTTCGTAGGTTTGTGATCTTGGTTAAACTAGGCTAATACTTTCAATTTTTGAATCATGATGTTAGGTACCTTTGTTAGATTGCAATGGAAAAATCATCTGTCTATTTTTCTCTGCCAACTGGTGTATGCCTTGCAAACTTTTCATTCCTCATCTTGTTGATCTTTATGAGACACTGAAGAAGAGAGGGGTGAATATAGAGATTATCTTCGTCTCTTTTGATCGCGACGAGGAAGGATTTAATGAACACGTTAAGAGTATGCCGTGGCTAGCCGTCCCGTTTGATGTGGATTTGCATAGGAAGCTTATTGATAGATATCGGGTTGATCGAATCCCGTCGTTCATTCCGTTATGTACTGATGCCTTAACTGTTGATGAAAAAGTGATTGAGTGGATTGAGGATTATGGTGCTGATGCATTTCCTTTCACAAAGAAGAGACATGAGGAATTGAAGGTTATAGATAGAAGAAAACGCGAAGAAGTGAATTTGCAAGAATTGTTGACACGCGAAGAACGCGACTTTCTTATTGCTGGAGATGATAGAAAGGTATTGGAATCGCGAAGAGATGAAAACCTCGTTGTCGAATGTTAGAGCGCGTTTGTGAAACTTTCTAGTAGTAACAAACATGACATTGACATGTTTTATTGTTGCATTGCAGGTGGTTGTATCTGAACTAGCCGGGAAAACGGTAGGCCTATTTTTTGGCGCGTATTGGTCTCCTCCTTGCCGTGCCTTCACAGTTCAACTCACCGATGTATACAATACTCTCAATGAAATAAAAGGTTGCTGTTTCGAGATTGTTTTCATTTCAACAGATAAGGACCTGAAAGAATTCAATGTTAACAGAACTAGCATGCCTTGGCTTGCTATCCCATACGAAGACAGAACAAGGCACGACCTTTGTAGAATCTTCGACATAAAGAAAATTCCAGCTTTGGTAATCATTGGACCAGATGGTAAAGTCGTTAGTTTGAACGGTAAGTTTATGGTCTCCTCGTACGGCGCAGAAGCTTTCCCGTTTACCGAATCGAGGGTTAAAGATTTAGAGTCAGCTCTCAGAAAGGAAGGAGAGGCTTTGCCTCAACAGGTTCAGGATGTCAAGCATGAACATGTACTCAAACTGGAAATGGCGAAAGCGTATGTATGCGATTCTTGTAAGAAACAAGGCAAGTTCTGGTCATTCTTTTGTGATGTTTGTGACTATGATCTTCATCCAAGTTGTCTTGAGAAGGTCAACAAAGACTAATGTTGGTAGAGAATAGTATCACACAAGATTGCAACAAGTTATATACTGATTAGCCACTTCTGTAAGGGAAATGCCTTGGTAGAATTACTCTATTATTTAAAGAAAAGTTTAGGCAAACCCCTTCCTTTAAAAGGTGTATGGACATATTTATAGCATGCTTGTATAATAAATTTGATACATATACTATATGCATATGTGACTACCATAGAGTCGTGTCGTGTCTGAAGTTTTTGAAGGCCTTGTGTAGGTTTGTCAAGGTTCAACCATGACAAAACAATTAGAGGTCATAATTAACCATGTTTTAATATGGACAGATTTTATGAGACCCTTTCCAGACACAGTTTAATCGTGACAAATTTTATACTCTGTACAGTTGTATGCTCTTAAAGACAGACGGCCCTTGTGATTACTATGTGCACTAGAAAATATAAATGCCAATTTTTTCAGTATTTCTTAGACTTTTGCATTATTTCTTATTATTGAAGAGTTTAAAATTTGCATATGTTCTTTTTAGTATTTTCTACTATATTTTTGAAGTTATTATAATGTTATGAAATAGCCATAGTTTTGGAAATCGGCACTGACGGATTAGTCAGTCCGGTTCAACCGGGAATCGGTAATATATATGTCCGTCTTGAGCGAATAATTGGCTATGCCATAGAATCGGTGCAAACGAGTTTATAGAGACTGGTTCATTTGGTTCAGTCGTGCGGTTCGACTAATGACTCAGTGGTTTAACTGCTTTGATCACACTTTTTAAAACAAAAAATTTGTAAGCTTAAAATAAATCACAGGAAATAATCACTTTTTTTTTACATCTGATTAAAATATAACAAATAAGGTCTTATTTGGTCACTAGATTGTAATTCCAAGAAAGACCAAGTCAAAGATAGCCCGCAAAGTTTGGTAATTCTAAAACAAGAGATTGAATGGAACATTATTTGTGGTTATAACATTTCTGGAAATAGCTCAAAATAGCAGCAACAAAAAATCCAAAAATGGTTGCTACTTGTTACATGAGAAACATTGAATATTTACTATTATTTTGTTTTGAACACCAAAAGAATCTGCAACAAAATAAAACAAACCAAACACATACCAAAAAGTCTTTTCCTGCAAAAAAACAAGAAACTTTTAATGGTTCCTTGCAAAGCAAGAAAGGAAAAAAGACATTTCGGTTTGTGTTCATTGAAAGAACACCAAGAGTTTTGGTAGAAAGAGAGGAATGTGGTTGCCAAAGAATCAATCAGATAAGAAGGATGGTGTAAATGGATTAATCGCAGTGGCAATAGACAAAGAAAAAGGGAGCCAAAATGCACTCAAATGGGCTATCGACAATCTCCTCACAAGAAACGCAACCGTAATTCTCATCCATGTCAAGGTTGTGGCGTCTTCTATCTCTTCATCGCCTTCGATTTTCACCACAAGCAAATCTACAAGTAAGTTTTCGTTATATATAGTATCATTATTTTGCTCTTTCTAGCATCAATGGTGATTCGTCCGTCACTTGGTTGATTGCAGGGGCCGCGATAAATGCTAATGGTAACGACAGTTTAACAAGCAAAGAACCAGAAGCTCAAAAAAATATTTTCCTACCGTATCGCGTATTCTGTACGCGCAAAGATGTAAGTTGCTTTTCGTTTTAGAATTCCATGCATTATATCGAGTTTTTTCATCTCTTGATTTTTTGTGTTGCTTTATGCGGCGTAGATACAATGCAGAGATGTTCTACTACAAGATTCAGATGTAGCAAAAGCATTGATTGATTATGCTTCTCAGGCAGGAATTGAGCATCTGGTTCTTGGATCTTCGACAAAAACCGGTTTGCTCAAGTATGAAACCGTCTTTCTAACTATCATCACACTTTGCAAAGTTTACTAGGAATTTAGCTTGGATAATGGATGTAAAATCGGTATGTATGCGATTTCTGAAGGGTTTTTTTTTTCTTATCAGAAGATTCAAGGTATCAGATGTTTCGGGAACGGTGGCAAAAGGTGCGCCAGATTTCTGTACAGTCTATGTCATTGGGAAAGGAAAGATTCAATCGATGCGATCTGCTTCTCGTCCTGCTCCAAGCATTTCCCCTATACATGTTAATGAAACTACTATCACACAAGACCAACCAGACACAAATGGTATGTCGGAACAAAGCGTAAAATGTTAGATTCATACACCATCACACATCTAGTTTTTATTATGTGTAATATCATATAATCTTTGCTTGCTCACTAAGAAATATGGTTTTTATTAGATCAACAAGAAAGGAATTCTTTTGATGCTACACATTCGCAGGATGGAATCGATTCCTTCAGGTAAACAACATTACCTGAATGATTAAATTATTTTGTTTTTTTCGGTAGAAACGAGGTATCCTCTACGCGCAACTAAAGAGACTAATCCCTTGAGTCAGAGGAACCACAATAGGCGGTAAAGCTCTCCCTCAAGAGAATTTAACATTGTTGCGTGTTCAGGGCAGAGTTCGAACCCAGAATCTCGGGTTAAGCTGGAATTTTGATGCGCTAATCAGTTTTTTTTATGCACTAAGCTAGAAAATGTTATTGAATGCAGGTCACCGTTCACCAGGAAAGGTTACAATACCAAACAATATATGGAAAATTCGAAGGCGGATGGTGATATATCTTTTCTGAGTTCTGGAAGGTCGAGTACCGAGCGCATGTTGCCTCCATTGTATAACAGCTCGGAGACGGGCACTAGGATGTCATTTAGCTCGGACCAAGATTTAAACTACAGCTTTGAGTCTATGTTTCAAGGAAGGAAGTCTATAGATTCCACCATTCCTGCTGAATTTACATCATTAATGTTCGAAAACGAAAGTCTTTCATCTTCTTCATCGCAAGCCGTGGTAAGAAATTTCATATTACAAGTTTTCACTACTTATGTATATGGATAATTAATCTTGTAATGCAATTTTAGGATGATATGGAGGCTGAAATGAGGAGATTAAAGTTGGAGCTCAAGCAAACAATGGAAATGTACAATACAGCTTGTAAAGAAGCACTCACAGCACAACAGAAGGTATGAATTAAGGTTTCGATATGTTCTTTTTCGGTTAAACATATATAAATCTGAGACATGTTTTGCAATTTACATGACAGGCAATAGAACTTCAGAAATGGAAGTTAGAAGAAGAAAGGAGATTGGAAGAGGCGAGGCTAGCCGAGGAAGCTGCGTTGGCAATCGCAAAACAGGAGAAAGAAAAATCTAGAGCAGCCATTGAAGCTGCTGAAGCGCAGAAGAGGATAGCAGAACTCGAAGCGCAGAAGAGACTTCAAGCAGAAATGAAAGCACTTAGAGAAGCAGAAGAGAAAAGAAAAGTAATGGATGCTTTGGTAAATGTAGATGTTAGATATAGAAAGTATACGATAGAGGATATTGAAGCCGCAACAAATTTTTTCTCGCAGTCCCTCAAGATTGGAGAAGGAGGATATGGTCCGGTTTTTAAGTGTCTTCTGGACCATACACCTGTTGCGGTCAAGGTTCTTCGTCCTGATGCTGCACAAGGAAGGTCGCAGTTTCAACGAGAGGTAAGCGCACAAGCAAACCTGCAACACTACACGTTAAACTCGTGGAAATTTCGGTCTTTTTTATATTTTCTCGTTAACATGATAACTTCGCAGGTTGAGGTATTGAGCTGCATACGGCATCCAAACATGGTTCTCCTCTTAGGAGCCTGTCCGGAATATGGCTGCCTAGTGTATGAGTACATGTCAAATGGAAGTTTGGACGATTGCCTGTTTCGTCGAGGAAACACTCCTCCGCTTTCTTGGAGGCTAAGGTTCAAGATTGCAGCCGAAATAGGCACGGGCTTGTTGTTCCTTCACCAGACAAAACCAGAACCTATAGTCCACAGGGACTTAAAACCAGGAAACATCTTACTAGACAGAAACTTCGTATCCAAAATCAGCGACGTAGGTTTGGCAAGACTAGTTCCACCGTCGGTCGCTGACACCGTAACGCAATATCGGTTGACAGCAACAGCTGGAACATTCTGTTATATCGACCCGGAGTATCAACAGACAGGAATGTTGGGTGTGAAATCAGATATATACTCACTAGGGATCATTTTCCTTCAAATTTTGACAGCAAAATCACCAATGGGATTAGCACATAATGCTCAAAAAGCCATTGAAAATGGAACTTTTACCGAAATGTTGGATCCTGCGATAACCGATTGGCCAATGGAGGCTGTTATGAGTTTAGCAAATATAGCAGTCAAGTGTGCGGAGTTAAGGCGAAAAGATAGACCTGATCTCGGTAAAGTTGTGCTTCCAGAACTTGACAAATTGAGAGAACTTGCTGATAATAGTAACCAAAATTCAACACCAGATAGTCCTAGCTCGATGAATGCTTCGCATGAGAGACAAATTTCAGTGCAGCTGGTAAATCTCTACATTGTTTTCACACATTTATAGCAATAGAGATGTTGATAAGTTGAAACAATGTTACGATGAATTTGAGCTTATGCATGTTGAACTTTTTGCAGGATGAAAGCTGTCCTTAGGTGGTTTTTGACAGTCAAGACAAGACCAAATGTAAATTACTTAGGTGGTTTGATTTTGTAGAATGTTTGATTCTTTAAGTTTTGTTTTGTTTTTCTTATGTCAATATAGTCTGCAACAAAAAAGTGTAGCCTTTAAGGGCCCGTTTGTTAGATTAAAAAAATGTTAATAGATTATCATGTGAATATTTTTATGATAAAGATAGCTACTAGCCAAGCCAATTTTTTGTACTTTTGAAAAATTACTAGTTTGAAATGTGGTGATAATAAATTTTTATCAAAGTGTGAGCAACTATATGAAGTTGTTAAAATATAAAAGCCTCATAAAAGATAAAAATGAAGTCCTACATAACTACCAAGAGTTCTTCAACATAGTTACAAGAAAGTATTGAAACCTCGATGGAATAGAGGTGGTGCGAAGGAAAAAAAATAGAAAGAAGGAAAGAAAAAGGAAATGTACTTTAAATCTGTCAAAATACATTATAGTATGTTTTAAATATATTAACAGTCACAACTCAAACCAATTCAATTAAGACTGATTTTTAGGGACTGAGTTTGATTTTTACACCATTGTAAATTGGGTCATTAAAATTACAAATCAAACCAATTCAATTAAAATTATCCAGTTTAATATAAACCACCAAAAAATAAAAATTATCCAGTTTAATATATTCCACCAAAAAAATAAAAATTATCTAGTTTAATATATTCCACCCAAAAATAATCGAAATCAAGGAGAGATAGCTCAACTAGCTTGAATTGAAAGGAGTTGGAGACCCAGAGATCAAAACATGACAAAGCCATAAAACATTAATAAGTTAGCATTAAAATAAATCAAGACCCAGAGATCAAAACATGACAAAGACATAAATATAATATAAGTTAGCATTAAAATAAATCAAAAACCAACCTATTATTATTGTCTTTAAATAAAAAAGGGGAAAACTTTTTAAACAATTAAAGTTTTAAAACATCATATCCCATCAACATAGTTGATAGCTATGCAAAAAGATCAGATGTCCTATTAAGTCAGTTCAGATAATAACTATGCAAAAATATCAGTCAGTTCAGATAATAATTAAACATCAGATGCAGAGACGCAGATTCGAACCCGCAAAATCCCACTTATTCGCCCAATCAAACTCACATCTCCAACTCGCAACATCTCACTTATTCACACGCTCAAACTTAAGAAAACTAAGGCATAACAAAATGCAGGCTATCAATGAACGCATAACTAAGCAATTGGCAATCCGTCGTATGACTGTAGATGATAAGACGGCAGGAAATCCCTCCATCAGCATTCCACCCGTTAGGGAAAAAAACTTATTCGGTTTTTATGCATCATACAAAGCCAGGTGATGAGTTGAGTTAAAGCTTAAAAGGTTGAAGAACTGTGTGTCCATCAACCCAAAAAAAAAATGAACAAAAGAATAAAAGGTTTGATACGTGCCAGAATTAACGCTACAAAAAATTTTTGTTGCTGATAAGGAGCAAATATTCTGCTGTCACAGAACTAAAGGAAAACAAGAGATATAAAAGTAATTAACATGAACTCGAGTCAATACTTTATAAATATACAGTAACCATAGTAAAAAAGATCCAGATAATAAGATAATAAAAAAAGATACAGAAACGATAATAAAAACTACCCAAACATAAAACTCGCAGCTCTTGCTAGCAAAACATAGATCCCTTTGAGTCATAAAACCCTCTTAGATCAAACAATATAAATTACAACAGAGTAAAAAATAAGTAAAAATAAAGCCACAATACTGCAATAAAAAGCCCAGTTTGAAAAGGACATGCTGTTGTGGTGATGAGAAGAGAAAACTGATGCACATCAATGCCCCAGAAGGCAACAAGCAACTGGTGAAAAGCCAGTGCATCAGCGATAGTACATAAGCTGCTGTCTTGACGAATTACCGGTATATCCATCATACATGGCTTGAGATGCCGCAGAGTTTATACCCATTGAAGCGGGAGCTAGGCCATGCTGTCCAGACATTTGAAGAAGAGCTTGTCCGGAAAGGCCAGATACAGCAGCCTGACTCAAGGCTAGCTGGCGCTGATAAGCCAACAACTCAGCAGGAGAATAGCCTTGGTTCATCCCTGCAGTAGGAAGTATTTGATATGGTTGTGCAGCAGGAGGAGGTAATGGATTTGAAGCTGTCCCAGGAGGAGTTGGTTTACTACCCCATGAACACTGCACAAATAAAGTAAAATAAATTATACAAGCTAACTCACTTGAAAACATACCTCCAGCCTATAGAAAGCCTAGTTAAAAGGGTGAGCTTGTAATTGTATCATTACTAACTGTTAATCACAGATTGCTGAAAATAGAGGTTTGTAGGAATCCCGCTATGCTACATGCTATAGCACCGCTATATCTACAATTTTGTACTAAAGTGTATCGCATGACAAATATGTGGCCACTATTGGACAACACTAGAACTCATTACTTGTTTCTAGCTGAGATAACGTAGGGGTATGGATAGGTGCAAGCATATTTGTATCAACATACGAGTAACATTATACGGTGCAAGGAAAAAAAAGATTTACATTCCTATTCTTTAAAAAGGACTTTACTAGGAACTATTAAATAGGGCGAACACTAGCCCCAACACTTAAATGAGTGACTGACAAGACAAGCAACAGGTGAAAGGCTTCTCACCTTCATCGTCTTCCCACGAACTGGTCTTCCATTAGCCATCTGAATAGCCAGCGCTGCTTCCTCGTGAGTATTGTATCTGACAAATCCAAAACCCTTATCCCTCTGAACTCGGACCTCTTCAAGTACCCCAGCTCCCAATGCATGGAATTGACAATGGAGTTCAGCTTGTGTTACCTGTGACCTCAAAGCGAAATTGTAAGTTACATATCCAGAAGATTGTGAAGCAAACAATTCATAATTTGCAAGAAATGGAAAGACTGTCATACACAGATCAGATTAGACATTCATCAGAGAAAATGCAAGGAAGAGATACAAATTGCAATACCAAAAAAGGTTTTGTAAATTAAAGTCAGAAAGGGGTATTAGTCTCAGCATAGTTTTGAATTCTATATTGCATCATATTGAAGTTGTTGAGTTCTGCAGCCACACCACCCTGCAACTGTCCACCCAGTAGTGTTAAATAGCTGCCATGGTAATACTACAGCAGCAGTGTCTTTTGCAATTACATCACACTCTGCAGCTGAACTTCTATATAAACCCACTGGAATGCCTTTTTTCAATCAAGACTGGATCCAAAACAGGACAAATGGACAAGGGTAAAAGAGACTGATAAAAATGAAAAGACACCATTACACTCGGTTCATAAGAGCAAAAACACAGGCTATTCTTTCAGTTACAAGACACCCAAGAACAAGTGAAGACAAAGGTGGTTAAGTGAGGCATTGTGATTCAGGTACTTGATAAGAAAGCTGCACCAATATTGGCAAATTTAAAGCCACTTTGAACAGATAAGAGAATCACAACAAACATGACCAAAATTAAGTCGGAGTGTAAAAAAATGTATAACCCCGAAATCTATCATTCAGTAAAACAAGCAAACAAGTTGTATCCCGTCACTTGATCCTGTATTGAATAAACTAAAATTGAAATGAAAGAACAATGTATCTGTAAGACATTTTAATCATTCTAGAGCTATTAATGAGAAGAAAAAATCACTCTTGGAAGGGTCACTTTGATGGCTTCGCTGAACTCAAACTATCAGTCAAGCCAACACCAAGCACGAATTGTGCTTGAATTTTTTAATATTACTCTGCTCTATCAGAATATTCTGATTACTATTATTAAACCTAAATTAGCTACAGGGTGGATTTGGTATTTATCTACAGTTTAGCTATGGTAATCTTGTTACGACAGAAACTTATAAGCCTGAGGGTCCAAACATAATAGGGCACATGTGCGCAGCCCATTCTTACTTCTAAGCAAATACAAGATGAAACTATATAAACCAACATCTCTAACACAAACAATAAGCATAATATTTCATTCTTCAATTCATATAACTTACATCATGGGGAAGGTTGCCAACATAAACTGTGGTGTATGAAGGATTATTTTCAGGAGCATCCTCATTGCTGTTGTCTTGACCTCCATCTGTAAAACACATAACAAATAACTAAACTTATCTCCCAGCAAATGAAGGCATAGAGCATTAGAGCTTAATGGGGTCTCAATTCCAATCACTGTAGTCATTCAATAACCCTATAAACTTAGCTAAAGATAAAATATCCAAAAGAAGTAATGAACAACACATATTGCCAAATACAAATAATATTAGAAATTAAGAGCACTCGGCATGTAAACAAACAAGAATTATCAAAGTCTCATTAAAACTAAATTTTTTTGTTGTCTATTAACGATTTGAATGGCTCTACACACGCCTTTTAAACATAGTATGATAAAAGTATATAAATCAATACCCCAAGCACAATATGCTAAACAATGCACCAAAAATAGTGCCTAAACATCAAGCAACAAGAAATTCACTGCCATTTACTATATTTAGAAAGATGAGTCACACCTGAAGACCCATTTGTAAGCACAACAGCATTTTGGCTGTCATTGATCTTCTCTTCATTTGAGCTGCCACCAGCACCTTTAGTTGCCCAATTGCATCTTATTTGTCTATTTCCCAGCCATTTACCTACATGATGCATGAAACACAAGTTGAAAGGAACAGTGTCAAATAACAACAGAAGCATAATAGCAGAAGCATGAAGAAACAGTATGAGTAAACAATAAAATGTCTAACCCGTCATATCATTTATGGCAGTTTGGGCATCCTGCATAATAGTTGCATAAAGACGAATCATTTTAATAGTTCAGCAAATTATTAATGCAGCTAATATTGGAAAATAAGAATTTCAATGATTTGTTATAAGAATAACACTATTTTGTACTAATTTATCTAGCTAGAGGAGGGGGGGGATTGAGAGCAATGTTATTGATCTTAAAAGAAAATATTTCAGGATGTTTCATTGGTTGATCTCTCCAATATATTCTAGCATATAGAATAAGCAATACCTGATGATCACGGAAAGAAACAAAACCATATCCTTTTGAGCGACCAGTTTTGTGATCCCACATAACCCTAGCATCACTGTATTAAGAGAGAAGATGGAAAAGTAAGTTCCAAAAAACCAAAATGTCTTGCAAGGCTAAGTAACCAGAAGTTAACTCCCATATATCATTTATCTTTCTTCAACTTCTCACCACTAACAAGGACTAGAAAATTCACTATAAAAAAGAATAAACCTATTCTGATGACCCAAAAAAGATGTAATGAAGGGGAAAATAAGCAACGAGGAACTCACGAACAAGTAGTATAGACTGAGAAGCATGCAAATAAAGTTGCATCAGTAACCTCTGGACTCAAATCACCAACAAATACATTGAAGTGCCCTGATCATTTTGAACTAAAAATTAAAGGAATATACAACGGGATATAATAAAGAAAAAAAATTTCCCCAAGAAGCATGAAAATCAAAAATAACAATAGATGGGTTGCATTTAAAGGTAACCAACCTGATGTATCCTCCCTACTGCTATTGGCATATGCCCAATTCACCTTAAGTGCTTGACCATATCTGCAAATACAAATAACTGTTGTGATGTTGCTATATATTAAAGAAAACATAAACACCCTTGTCAAGACTGCATAATTAAAAATTGAAACAAGTCAGTCAACATGGAATGAATTAAAAAACTGTAGAGCCATTAGAATAATATTTACATTCCCGAGTATGTGAAAAATGATAATCATTCATCTATCTCCAGAAAAGCCAGTTGGAGAACGTGTTCACAGTTCAGATGCTAAGCAAATATGCCACAAAACAATGAATACGAATTTAACAAAATGCTTACAGTTGTCGTCCATGCAATGTCATTATTGCAAGTGCTGCGGATGCTCGATCATGGTAGTCCACAAAACCATAAGAAGACTGCAACAGTAATTTCACCCCAAAAAGACAAACAAATCAGCAGAAACCAAAAAGTAAGGATAGGGAGTAGAAATAAGGACTTGAAAAAGAACATAATACATGTAGTCTACATAGATGCCAGACTAAGAGCAGCTGTCAGGAGAAGTTTACTGTACAACCCACAGCAAGGATGATAACTATGGCAGTTGACTTTTAAGCTATAACACACAAGCAGGATCTAAATAGTTTATGATTCTCTTGGCTGCATTTTCTCTATCTCTCTCAAGCTCTCAGTTTTTAACACATAATTCCAAGTTAAAGAAGCCCATCTTACAGGTACACTATCAAGGTTGGTATCATGACAAATAAATGGTCAATAATTTAGACAACAAGCTCAGCACATTACCACCCCATTCGTCAAGCAGTAGAGAGTTCTCTAGAAAGGAGACAAGGAAAACTCTTTGCTGGCAAAGGCCAGGCCCCCTTCACCAAACAACTTTTGTATCAAGTTCTGACATGATTTTCTTTATTGGAATATGATGTGTGTCATTTCAGAATTCCTTGACAACCTATCACTTGTAGAGGATAAAGATCTGAGTATTGGGAAAAGCTCGTCTCGTATTGAAAAGAAATAAGGTCTGAAAACAGTTTATAAAGAAGAACACACCTCAGCTCTCACTCTACAAATCAATTTTAAAAGGATGAGTTAGGCTTAATCCAAAAATCTAATATGACATTAGCGCCTGTTGATTGGGCCACCCACCATATTATCCATGCACCAAGCCAAATAGTATACTGAGTGTGAGAGGATGAATTGGGAATTACCCAAATCCCACATTGAAAAGAGTCAAGGTCAGAAAATAGCAGAATTGTGAATCGCGGCCGCTATCACGGGATTCCCGGCCACCATGCGCGATGGAACACACAGGCGCGGATCCCAGTTAAGGATCGCGGGCACGAACAGCACGATTTCTCGAAGAGGGTCAAGGGCCACATCCCGCGTGGACCAGTTTGGTGGTTTCTTTATTTTTTTACTTTTTTCTTGCGCAATTACAATTTTACCCTTAAGTTTTAAGGGTCAATATGAGTACCAATTGACTTTACATTCCACGATGCTTTCTCCTCTTCGTCTTCTCTCAACGGCTCTGTTTTTGTTTGCCCTAACATCATCATCTTCAAACGAGCTCCTCCTTCAGCCACCTCCGATACTTTCTCTTTTCTGAAGACGCGTTTTCTATTCTCTTCTCACTTTTTCGATTCTTCACTTGCCCTAGCTTTCCTCACTTCTGCGTTTTTTGTTGACATTTTTGGATTTCACTCAGGTTAGTCTTCTCTATTATTCTTCTCTTTTCAACTTTTTGAAAACATGTTCTCTGTTTTCTGAAAACGTGTTTTCTATTCTTCTTCTCTTTTCTTCTTAGATATTTGATTTTTATAAAACTTTTATGGGTGTTGTGTTATTTGTATAGATTATTCATATATTTGGTCTAAAAAATAGTCAATTTTAAAAAGTCAACAAAAGATATTCTGCTATCCCGCTATCCCACTTTTGGGGTCGGCTGCTCCACTCATCTATCTGGGATTAGTAACTCTGGAAAACAGTTCATAAATAAGAGGTGGAAGTAAGTGTAGGGAAAAGGCTCCTGAGACTTGCTTGATTCAAACTTCTAAGCTTGAGAGGTTTGTTCTCTAAAATACTTTAAATATTTTTTATTCAGGTTCAATGAAAAATTTATTATAGTGAAAAAGTAATAGAACAATCTTGAAATGATAGTCCTTTCACCCCACTACTACAGTAATGTCAGTCGACTGATTGGGTTTTGAATTAGAATGGATAGAGATAGGTCGGACGAGGAATATAATTCCATTTTAAGGTGGGGAAGGGGTTGAAAAAAATCCTTGTATACAAACCTTATAAACCAGTTCTGTAAGGAAGGGTTAGATCCAATCCAAAAACCTAATACAGGGAGTCCCCAAAAAGAAAATTTGAGTGAAGTATCAAAAACAGACATTAAAAAAAAAGTACATACTCATCAGTACTTATAACCATATTTTGTAAAAAAAATATGAGTCCTTATATGTTAAGACGGAGGCCACGGGGCTAATGAAAAAGAGGACATTAATGAGCTAAAAAATAGTAATAGTATATATGATCATCATTCATCAGCAAAGAACATGGAATTGGATTATAATTCAAACCTTTTCTTTTCTTATGAGCTTGCACCCAGCAAGAGGGCCAGCACTCTGAAAAACTTCTGCGAGAAGTTTATCGGTGACATTTACATGAATATTTCCTACATAACTGAAAGCACAAAACTTCAGATTAGTTAGGTATTGAAGTAGAAAACTATAAATTCGGATCAATTAAGAACATCATTATGTTAAAGAAATTTGCATCTGCAGTTAGAAATTATGCACTGAAAGGAAAATTTCCAGATTTGGGGAAAACACAAAAAAACTGAGGACAAAAAGCATATAAAAGCAGAAAGAAACCCAGCACTCACACACTACGGCATGCAGAAGCATCAAAACCAGGAGGCAGATTTCCGCTTGGTACAGGCTCCATCTGCAAAATTTCCATAACAAATATTTAAAAAGGGGGGGAAAGATCCTTGCTACAATAGGAAGATACCCTAAACAGAATTGTAGGAAGAAAGGGAAAAATAATTATTTTCATTTATAGTAAGATAGTAGAGACTAATGGATTAATTCGTTTTCCCTTTCTTTCAATGAGAGGCATTTTTAGAACCTAACAATACAAATGATAAACCACTCAATTGGGTAACAATTTTAGTTTACAGTATAATAACCAATGAAAATAATTCATTAACAGTTCATCCATTGTGAGATAATCATTAATCTGGAGTTTTGTGATTTCTGTTAGTTGTGTGTCCATTGGTTAACTACTCTTGACATTTCATTAATAGACTCTAACGGATTAGAGAAACTTTTGGCAACTTTGAGTTGTTTCTATTAGAATATTGAAATTTGAACACCCTCGGTTATGTGTTTTTTCTAATTGTAGAGTCATAGAAAATTATGCAGTGATTTGTTTCTAAGTTAAACAAAACTCAAACGAGTATTACAATATGAGGTTGCCAAAATCTACTCTTGATTTTTCAATCAAAGATCATATGACTCTATTTTTTCCTCCAAAGTATGTCCCTTGTGTTAATAGAGGCTAATTAGCAAACAAATGCAAAAAAATATACTCGGTCAATAATACAGACAAAAGTTATATAAAATTGGACATCAGAAGATTGCCTAACTTGCTCTATATAAGGAAATAGGCCGAAACTGAAAGAAATAGTAAGTGACTAAAAGCAGCCACCAAATTACTCCAAATGACAACAATAAATTACTCAGTTTTTATCCAAGCCATAGAGATTCGATAAAATTTTATGTTGGTAGTCGACTGCCTAACACGACCCTCTCCATTTATTTGGGCTTGGGACCGGCTATGCATAGCAAAGCTAGGAAAGACTCAAGAATGTGGTGAGTCAAAGGAAGGACTCAAGCTTTTGACCAGTTATATCAATCCTTAGGAACCAAGGAGGGAGGGGGAAAAAAAGACGAGAGAGTTGGATCAAGTTAAGTGTGTTAAAGAAGAAAAAGGAAAAAAAATTATTCAAAACAGGAATATAAAAAGGATAGATGGAAGAAGTATTTCCACAATTCATTTAGTGAAGGATATGAGATCTTACTAAACTCTAGCAAACCAGACATCAGAAAAGGGGATCGAAACTATAACTACTATCGTTGGATTTTAAAACATATTGTGAAAGAAGCGTTGAAAAGGATGAGTAACAGCAAGGTAGTTGGGCCAGACAACATATCTATTGAAGTGTGGAAGAGTCTTGGAGATAGAGGCATTGAATGGCTCACCAAACTTTTTAACAAATTATGAGGTCAAACCAAATGCTCGATGAATGGAGAGGAAACACTTTAATTCCAATCTATAAGAACAATAGAGATATACAAAATTATGCCAATTATAAGGGGGTTAAACTTATTATGAGTCATACAATGAAATTATAGCAAAAAGTGATTGAACAGAGACTAAGAAAAGAGACTCGTGTTATTGATAATCAATTTGGTGCCCGAGAGGTCCACAATAGAAGTGATCTATTTATTACAACATATTGGATGGATTATCAAACATTGCACTTAGCTTTCATTTATTTGGAGAAGATGTGTGACAGTGCCTAGAGCGGGAAATTCGACAAGTGTAAGGACACAAGGTGGAAAAACGGATGATTTTTCCATAAGAATGCACAAAGGTTCAAGTTCAACCCTAAACCCTTAACTTTTTACTTGAATTTTGAATGTACTCACGCAACACATCCTATAGCTAGCACCGAGACATATGTTTTTAGTCGAGATATAGTCTCACTTGGAGAGTCGAGGAAGAATTAAATGAGATTGGAGACATGAAGATAAGTCATAGCCTAAGCATAAGTAAGATGTAGTATATGGAATATAAGTTTAGCAAAGGAGATGTGTTTACAACTTAGAGGTCAAAGTTAGAGATCATATCATACCACAAGTTACGTGGTTTAAATATCTTGGATCCGTAATACAAAACAATTGACAAATAGAAAGAGACGTAAACCATATAACTCAAATTGGGTGTTTGAAATGGAGGGGGACTCGGGTGTTTTATGTGATACGAAAATACTGTCCAAACTGAAGAAGAAATTTTATTGAACAGTTGTAAGATCATCGATGTAGTCGGACCGTAAATAAAACCAACACGAAAATAAACTATGTGTAGCAAGGATGGGAATGTTGTGTTGGATGAGCGATAAGACTAAATGAAATAAGATTATAAATGACAATATTGGAGAGAGTGTAGGGATAGCACAGGGAACTAGACTTAAGTGGTTTGGTCATGTAGAGAGAAGAGCGATGGAATATCTAATAAGGAGAGTATAGAGTATGTCAAATGGAGGGTTGTCAAATTGCTAGAGTTAGAGGGTGGGAGACCTTGAGAAACTATAAAAAAAAAATCTGGAGATAACTTAATTGGATAGAAAATATATAAACCATGTAACCCGGTAGGCAAGATGGTTGTTGTTGATAACAATAAATTACTCAAGCAGCAATTTCTTCAACGAATAAAACTAGATGAACATACACAGACAAAAGTCAATATAAGTATATATTATTAACTATCATTCGTCATTGATATCAATCGTTGAAGGCAAGGAAGTGACCTAAAAAAAGTACTGCGAAATTCAAAACAAAATAAAAAGCATATCTAGAGTATTCTACATATTCTGGGTTCATTCATTCGTATGCTCCTTAACAATTTGATGAAGAAATGTAACATTGAAGGCGTTATTCATAGAAAAACTTAAAAGAAAAAATCTCGAAAGGTAAAAGGGGAAGGAAATGACCTACCTGAGTCATAGCGGCGGCGGCAAGCATGCCAGGGTGATGATACATCTGCTGTTGCTGAAGCAAAGCTTGCTGCATGAGTGCTTGTTGTTGTTGCTGCAACTTGAGTCTTTGTTGCATATTCCCCTCTTCTCCAAAAAAAAATCCTAACACTTCCCTCGATTCAGAGAGAAAAATTGATTTCTGAGAACAAACAAGGAGGAATCGAATCAAAAAACATGAAAGTGTGACGATAATTTTGAAATCAAAGAGAAATCGTGAAAATGAAAATTATGGCGAATCGGAAATTGAAATCTGGAGAAGACGCAGGGAAGGGAAGGGAAAGGGGGAAATTGTTACCTTGATGATGATGATGTGTGTGAGAGAAGATGGAAGTGGTGGTGGTGGTTGGTTGGTTCAGAAATGGTGGATTTGGTTTGGGGAAATTTGCACTCTCCTCTCTTCTCGTATAGTCTCACGCCTTAATCCCCATTTTCCAATGTCAATCTCTCTCCTCTCAATCCATGTCCATCCACTCCCACTCTAACTCAACCCGGATCGAATCGGATCTTATACTCGGATCCGGGTAACTCGTCTTCCATATAGTCCATTCTATTTCTTGTTTCTTTTTTATTTTTTTTACAAATGAAAAAAGGAAAAGAAAAGAAAAATAATAAACTATCTAAAAAATAAGTTTCATTAGTGTCATCTAATAAGAAAGTAATATTCTTACAACAAGTTTTGCAAAAAATTGGTATTTACATGATTATGAATTTTATGTTTTATTAGATAGTCACTATATGCATTCTTCTATCTAAGAGTAAAATATTTGAACTCATTATTTTTTAGTGAGAAATTCTTTAATGTTTGTATAGAATTACGACATAGTGATGTCAAAAATTAACCCATTATAAGATAAGTTTGATAGTAGAGTTGAAGGCAGAATAACACATCGAGTTTTTTATGTCATGTTTTTAGGTCATATGCAACCCATGATATAGTGTCATCAGCTCGGGATGAATGATGTTGGAATAACCAATATTACCTGTAAAACTATGAACCCGAGCACTATTAGCATTTTGAATCAATTCACCAAAACCTGAGACGTCGGGATTACCGAGAGTACTGTCATCATTCAAAATCATACTAGTACCTTTATATGTATTCCATGCGATCATTCTCGTTGGATGAGACGAGTTATGCTTGAAAAAACCTTTAGCAAACATATTAGCATAATTCATTGTGATGGATTTTAGAGTATAGTAAAATACCACTTTATTTGTAAAACACAATTTGTTCCTAGCGAGGTATTGAGATATTGTATCTAATCTAGTGGTCGAGATTGCACCATTTCATCTTGTGGTTGTCATTATCCGATAGCTCAATATATATTGTATTGTAATATCTTTGTAATTACAATCTAATAGATTTAGTATCATATCATAGAGTTGGTTATTTCACTAACTGTTTTCTGTTATGGAGATTATCTCAATTTGGTATCATTGAGCCTTTGAATCAATGGCTCAACGCAACACCGTCAACTCCGACGGCAGCTCCAGCTCTTCTGATCCCGTTTCAGATCTAACAAGTGCATATTATGTCCATGTCGTACCTCGAAAAATACGATCCTCGCAATGGAAGCGGAAAAAAATGTTCAAACAGAGTGGCCACCGAACTTTATTCATTCCAAGAATGGAACAAGAAAATATCAATAAAATCTTTAAAGATAAGAACATGGTCATCGCAACCAAATTATAGGTTCGAGAGTCGATTACATAAAGGGAAGGTATTAACACCCTCTATGTCCGTTGTGCTCAACGGGAACCTCTTGATTCGATTCGTGAGAGAACTTAGCTAAGTTTGTTTATCTTCTAAAGGATTCGCTTATAAGGGGAAAATAAGTGGTTTTTATACTAGGGTGCTCGCCAAGGATTTGGGGTCCTTGTGCCTACGTACTCCCTCGTGCAATGGGAAAGTCAGAGCATCGTAGTTCGTGGGACTATGGTAAAAGGTTTGGGATAAAAAAAGGTAGCTCGTTAGGATCTCGCAATCCTATGTCTACGTATTCTCATTGACAAATGAGAAATCAGAGCGTTCGTAGTTCGGACAACTATGATTGGTTGGTTTATGTTGAAGCGAACGAGTGTTTAAGTCGCATTCTAACTGCTAAACATTGGCTTGTCTGCTCGCTAGGGAGGTTGAAGCTCGAGTTCATATGCGCGGAAGAAGGGACTAAACAATGTTTTTTGGTAAAGTTGTTTGAGTTGTGGATCTCACGGGGGCAAGGAATTAATGTTTTGGGAAGTTTCAATCGCATGGGGGCAAAGAATTAATGTTTTGGGAAGTTTCAATCGCACGGGGGCGAGAGAAGAGAATTTTTCGTATTGGATGTTTTGCTAGAGGCGACGATTACCTGAAACTTAAGAAAGGCTTCTCGGGCCCAAGTAATCGAGAAAGTGGGTCAAAGGCTTGACTCTCTCTCTCTCTTTTTCAACCTTAATTGTGAAAGGATTTTGATAAGAGATTATGTTTATAAAGCTTTTGGACGGTGGAAGATAATTAGAGTATTTTACGGATGAGGATTACTTGAAGCTTAAGAAAGGCTCATCGGGCCCAAGTGATCAGGAGAATGAGTCAAAGGCTTGACTCTCTCTCTTTTTCATCTTATATTATGAAAGAGCTTTAATATAATTAGACTAGTTTTTGAAGGGATGACGAATACTCGAGGCTTAAGAAAGGCTCATCGGGCCCAAGTAATTGGGAGAGTGAGTCAAAGACTTGACTCTCTCTCTTTTTCATCTAATAATTGGGAAAATAGTTTTGAGTTTGTTTATTATAAAAATAGTTTGATGTAGGGTCATGTTGTAAAGTTTTTCTTAAAGAAGGCAATTGTTTGAACTTAAGAAAGGCTCCTCGGGCCCAAACAATCGAGAAGAGGAATCGAAGACTCCATTCCAACTCCCTTTTTCATCTATTATTGAAATTGTGTTTAAGTATGATTAAGTGCATTAGATTTGGTTTGAAGAAAATACTCGATGTGAATCGAGGTTTAAATTTGCATATGAGATGGTTTAGGACTGAACTAAATGGTAAGGAGGCCCTATTGGTTTAGGGTAAGATCGATGGCGAGGAAAAAACGTTCGACTTATAATTAGGGTATGGTTTGTGAATAAGTAATTTAAATTAGGTTTTAATCGTGTATACTAGCAAAGTGGGCTAGTCTTCTAAATGACCAACTAGAAATAATTGATCAAATAGATCTCACTGTAAGGAAGCCTGGGAGTAAGCTTTAAATATTGTGTATTGTGACTGAAAAGGTTGATGGTGATGCTTAGACAGCAATCGACTTACAAGGTGAAAAATGGCCCGACGTTAGATTGAGAGCTTGTTTTTAGAAATGGTTCAAAGCATTAAAATACAATTGAGACAAAAGCGATAGAATTATTACATTTTGTGGAAATTAGGGATACAATTTCGTATGAGGATAAAATATAATAAAATAATTAAATAAAATCCAATTAAATAAGTAGCCACGGGACTTGAACACAACTGAAATTGGAGGCGATCGAATTTATGACTATATTAAACTTATTTAGAGTATATTCAAGTGAGAATCACTATAAACAAAGTTGATTAATCGAATATATGCATTCATACGCGTTTAGAAGCGAAAATCATCTTTATGCTCCGAAATCGTAATGCAAACGACTATGTGACTAGTCAAACCAATACTTAGTAATGTCATAATTAATTAATAACTACCATTAACTTGTTAATTAAAAATCTAACTAAACAATTACCTATTATTTAATATTACAAAAAAAAAATGGTGAAAATAAACATGTATAAGTAAGTTTGGAGGTGCGTAAGAGAAAGCTTGATGGGCCTAAAACCAACTTGACGTAAAAGCAATACATAATTGGAATACTGCTAACAATATTATTGCCAAAAAGTTTCTTTTACAAATAACTCAGGTCATTGTGATATTGTTTTTTAAAACAGCAGAACAACAAATGTTAACTAGCCGAGTTAGACTAACTGATGCCAATAACCCAAAATTATTGTTATGAATGACCATATTGGAACCACAGTACCAAACGAACCAAAATCATGAACCAACATCTTAAAACTTCCATTACATACTGGATCCGATTATAACTAAAAAAATAAAAATAAAAAACAAATGTAAACTTACGCAACGTGATTCCCACAACAACAACAATATTTAAAATTGTAACAATATTCACAATGACGCGTAGAGTTCGAACACAATCGATTCATACCATTAATTCGAAACAAAACAAAATCCTAACCTAAATCTATATTGGAACCTACGGATGCATCTACAATAGAAGCAACTACACACAAACAATCGTAAATAAGAAGGCGAAACAAACTCGTAGTAACACATTTTTTCGAAATCTACAAGTTAACACATCCAAATCCCAAAAATATCACAGTCCAATTTAGGTGCATAACCTCGAAACTCAGTGAATCACACATAAAAGAATTCGAAAAATTACTGACACACGAGAGTTGTTGTCTCTCTGTTTCGTTACTGTCGATACGAATCATTGAGTTATCAGGATTCCATTTCAGAGCGAGTCTTTTGTAAGATATCTTCACCGCAAAAATGAAATGTTGTTATACGTCCGATTGTTGATGTTTGTTACACATCTAAGCTCTTGTAACACTAACGGACTCGTGCAAACTTGTATCTGATTCAAAACGCAATGATTGCTACGGCTCAAAGTGAAAGCATCAGTTCGCTCGATCATTCACAACAGAGATGAAGTCGGGACCATTTAAAATAGTGAATTTCATCAGTGTTAGGTGGTAAGATGGGAGTATTGTGAGTTTTGAAAGTGATTTCGCACACTGTTCAGGTTGGTTAATGAAACCTGAGAACGATGATGGCGATATGTAGAAGAGGGAGTTATGTGCTAGCGGTGTTAGGGTTGGTGTTGTCGGTGTGTTGTCATGGCGGAGGTTATGATGGTGGGTCTGAAACAAGGTGATTTGAAGATGTAAAAATGGTGTGTTGGTGGTTACACGGGGAGAAAAGAAAAGAATACGAGGAAGGTGGAGCGAATGGAAGGAGAAGGTGAATGGGAAATCAACGTGGAGCGAAATGGTTAATA